CTAACCTCATAAAGATCAATCTCATCATCTGGAGAATAGCCTGCCATTTCATTTAATCTTGACAAGATTTCTATTGGCTTTCCAGTACCTTTCACAAAAAACCTTCCAACATAACTGACATAAAGAGAAAGAGTCCAGGGTAAGCATCATGTTTATTGCCATAGAAATATAAAGAAACAGACACACAACAGAGAAGTTTTACCGTAGCTCTTCTTTCTCAGGATCATAATTCTTGAAGAAAAGCAAAATATCTTCGTTTGTCTTATCTGGTGGAGCAATTGCACGTAAACCCTGAATGACAATGCTTGTAATCACTAACAGCACTGGAGATGAAATATATGCATAAGATGGAAAAATGTTAACTGAATAAGGAAAGCAAGATTACCGGTCCAAGCTCCACTTCCAGGAACAATTTAAGTTCTGCATTTTGAACTTTATTTGAAACCTCCCTCAGTGTTCCTACCTACAGTTGGAATATATAAGCTCATCTACCATGATTAAGAGAAGAGGTATTAAGTGAAAATAAAGCTGTCTTAGATTAAATTTCTGGTATTTGTCTGCAAAAACAAGAGAAAAGAAAAAATGGAACTTGAACGGAAGTTCCCAACAGCACATTTTATGGGGATTTTTAAAAAACTTTAAGAACCATTTAACTGCTAAATACTGCTTAAAAACAAGCATGACAGAAAACATTACATTAGTAACAAAGACAATGAAAATAGTCAATAAAATTATCTAACACTCTATTAAATAAAGGGTTTGTCTAACATATGCCCTAAGGGCACACGTTAAGGGTGTATTAATTGCACCTTTTTCTCATTAATTTGAATAGAAAACACAAAAGCTGACTTCATTTTCAAAACCAATGACATGTACATGATTTCAATTGGGCAATTGACAAAATTGAAGTCAACTTTTATTTTTTCCATGACAATTAATGCACCTAGGGCACAAGTTAGAAAACCTTTTAAGTAAAAGGGTGCCATCTCCCAGGTAAAAATAAGATCATAAGAACTTCAAATCTAGAGTGTTAAAGGA